TTTAATTAAAAGGTTTCATTAAGCAATGATATCAGACCCCTCTTGTCTCTATACCGGTTAAAACTGGCCGAGTTTATAGCAAGTGAGAGACAAAATATCATTACAATACTTTGATTGGATCTTATTGTTTCATTTTCATTGTCGATGTTCATTACGCAAGTAATAAGTTATTTTAATTACCTATCAATAATCTGTAAAAATCACGAGTATGAGTTGAAACCTCAAATCGTCGAAAATCTGTTCACCAATCATCGTCAACTTCTTTCCATAATCTGATGTTAAGCATGAAATTTTATCATTCTTAAGTTTCACTTTATCATTTTTTATTTTTAAAGTACCAACAGAATAAAAGCCACCAACAGATTAATCTGATTACTTTATGAAACTCTAAAAATAGTCAAATTGTATTTCCAAACGTTTTAGCTTTGATGTTATCAATAACAATTTCAAACCAAATTACCAATTTAATGTAACACAATTTGCACACTATAGTGTTTCACTAATATCTAGAATTGGCTCCGATCTGCGACTAAATTATTTAACTAATGCAATAGGAAGTGTGAATATCCAGAGTATCGATATACTAGTAGTCGAATAAATCGAATACATTGTAGGCACAGACCAATCGCAACATGTTAGCCGATCGCGACTAAGCATTTAGGACTGCCGACGGACTGGAGTCTTTAGGGTTGGCAAAAACAAAGACAGTACTTATTTCAGTAATAAGAAATTGTTCTTAGGGTTTTTGCTGGCTGTCAAGAATTAGAAGATCCAGTTGGGTAACTAACAAGATTAAGTTTAAGATTACTAGTTGACCCAGAAAACGTATGAAAATAGTTTACGTCATATTCTCAAACCTACTAAATACAGGTAATTTTAATAAGAATCGGTCAAGCCGTTTCGGAGGCGTTTTGTTACATACACAGTGACACAAGAACTTTGTTCATAGAAGTTTTAAATCTCCTTGACTCTAATACATTAGCTAAAAGAGGTCAATTTTAGCGACAATTTTCCCAAAAATGCGCAACAACTTACATCAAAGTCATAGACTTTTCCGAAGTTTTGAAAATAAATGAAATCAAATAAATCAAACAATGGAGCCTTGTGACAACCCTTTAAGGATACAGAAAATACTTAAATCAACATACTCACCCAATTATAGTGTTATATTAATTAAATATCATAAAATTGTCTTAAAATTAGTTGCTGACAGCGTAAATTGAGTTCAGTAATGATGTGACATTGGACACGTGACTCAAAACGCAATAACTACTTTATATTTCCCCGTCTGTCGGTTAGTTATCGCCTATAAACTGCAAGAAATATCGACTGGACATACTAATTGTGCGTCGTGGGTTGGTTTGGGTGACGCAAGAGGCAGGGGTGACTATTATAAGATAGGAGAAAGGGTTGTTACGGTAATATACATGTAAGAAAAAAATGCTACTAAAGGTATTATTTAGACAAATTAAAAAGTAAGCAAATCAGCTATGTTTTGAAATTTTCAACGCTCAAATTCTCTGAACCTAAAATAGTCATTTAATGAACGCTTTGTACTCCCATTCAACACAGCAATAATAACTTTGGAAAATTGTTTTCCAAATAATTTTACTTTATTGGGAAATTATAAATAGTGGAAAAGAGTAAAAAGCCCTTAGCAAATCCCTAAAAGCTTTCTTCTAAGTTAATAACCGGTCTGCCATTATCCGTTGACGTAGTAATTAACATTATTCATAAACAGCCTCATCTGAACCTAACCGTTCTATAAATGCGTTTATTAATAAATCAAATCAAACAATGTTTACATTCCAAACCATATCGTTTAAACCGCTTCAATTATAAATAAACGAACTAAAAGCTAGACTCAAATATGTTGATGGTTAGTTTAATTGCTTCCTATCAATTAATAACCGTCTACCTGCCACTTAAATCCGTTTCAGCTTAGCGCAGCCCTAAATCATCATGGTCATTCATCAGCCGTTAATATACGCGTTCCATTTTCAATTGACGCAACGTACCGACGTTAGTATTAGAATTAATCCTTATAAATTTAATTCTAAAAATAAATTGGCAACCCTAGATCGACGGAGCAGCTGCCTCGGCCAATAGCTTATTGCATGGACGTTCCACGTTCGAATTATATCTTGCAAAGTTATTGGTGACACTACAGTTTAAACTTCCTAACCTTATTTAATACGAAATAGAGCTCAAAATTGTCCGTTTGTTAGATTTGCAATGGTCATTTAAAGGTGTTGGGTTTGCTCGATTAAAATGCGAGAGCAATGCAAGATTAGAATAGTACCTATGCAAAGTTTTATTGGCAGTTTTCGGAATGCCGCGAAATCGCTCGGCGATTGACAAACGCGCGCAGTGGACGACGTAGTTATTTGGAGATGATGGAATTTTAATAAGTAACTAACTTTGGTTTATATCTGAGCATGGTAGGGTTGGTTTCAATTTGTAGACTTCACTTATAAAAATGCCAAATGGTTTCGAGCATAAAAATTTAATCAGGTGTTTTTAATTAATGTGTCTTTTCATCGAGACACCACATGAATGATATGAAAATTGGAAAACAAAGAGAAAGAGAGAGTTGTATCAATTAGGTAAAGTAATAGAGTCAACAATTTCCGCAAGTTCTACTGCCAAAAGTCTCTATATTTTTGCATTAGAAACTTGTATTCTGAATAGATATTTCAGTATTTCAGTTACACTTTCAGTATTTCATGTATTACAACATTTGAGTAACCACACCAATATTTTATATTTCAAAGACAGTCGTTGCGAATCTTCAAAACAGAACGTCCGAATGATTGAAGACAATGCCTGTCTTTATCGACGTATAAATTTGTTATTACCCCACCCAAATCGGGAGCACTTTGTGCTCTCTCTGCCCGACTAATTGACTGTGATTTACAACTTGGTCGGTTAACAACCCACAATTACCCTCTTTAGAGTGTCGGAGTTTATTTACACGAGTTTGGGTAAGGGCGCGTTCACACTACAGGCGAAAGTTTTGAGAATTCAGAACGAACGGGGAAATGTCAGAACGTTCGCGTTAGTGATTAAAGATTATGCGGTGGCGTTTTACGTCTCCACTCGATTTATGAATGCAACATCGAAATGTCATTTTAATTTTATATTCTTGCAGTATTATCATCATGCAAGTACTCATTGAAAAAAGCTCAGAACCATTACTGACATGGATTTTTTGAATAACTTCACTTTACCACAGTTCCCTTTTAAAACAACATTCGTCTTCTCCAAAGTTCAGTTTTTTAGCCATTCATAGGCAAATCTGAGAAATATCTACTCATTATTATATCCCATCTGAATTCTGCCACCTATGTTTGACAAATACATAAATGGATTAATTTAATTTGATTTGTGTTATTTTGATATTAGCTCGTAGTGTAACTGAACCTTTACGCCCGCGTCGATGAGGTTATGTCGTAATCAATATTACGGCCCATCTCCATTGTTTATGAGTAGCGAAAATTGGATGCCTCGCTTGTTCGCTCGAGACATTAAACTCTACTTTAAGTTAAAAAAAAACATGTTGCGGAAGAAGAAAGAGGTACGAGACAGACATTATCGCCTAAGAGAGAATATTATCGTACACTTAGGCTGGGTTGCACCATCTGACTTTAACTTTAACAAACGTCAAAAATCTGTCAAACTCCATACAAAAAGCACCGGTTATCGTCATAGTACGGTTAAAGTTAGATGGTGCAACTCAGCCTTAGTTAAAGAGTAGTCAGGTGAAAAAAAGGGGTAGTGTAACTCAAAATTCTTACTTCTTTTGCCGAAACAACAAGTAATAATTGAATTAAGCTGAAGGACTATTTCCTAAAGCTAATGTAACAATATTAAATATTTTTATGCTGTATTATGTAATTGTATGTGAAATGGGGATGTTGCCTGGGTCCAAAAGCAAGAGTTTTAATTAGTCCGTCAGTTAACTTATCAAAAAATACTCTACACGTATTTTTCACTTTTTAAACTAATGAAAATTTAAAGAGATAAAGCGCCCCAAAGTTCATAAGAAGAGGCCCGTGACGTCAACGCTTGCTTAAAAATGCCGCACGTTGTGACGTCGTGCGCAACTTCAACGCACCATAACTCTGTAATTATTTGTTAGATTGACAAATAAAAATATATGTGTCCAATATTTTTTGATATTAAACATTACGGACTAAAAAAATTTTTTTAGGCAACTAGCCTATTGTGAATGTACCCACTGCAAACTCGTTAGCTTTACATCAAACCCTAGTGGTTTTTAAATTCTAATTGTAATTGTCTCAATGTAACTGTCTCTAAGTTGTTAAATAAATTAAAAAAAAAATATTAAATTAATTTTTGACCCAGATACCGATAATAGCAATGACTTAACATTGGATTAAGTTTTTTCAGTAGTTAAGTGGTTGATCCTTTATCTTAAGTGAGTTCAATTGAATCGTTATGTGAAATCATTTTAAACTAATCCGAAAATAAACATCGCTTGTACAAGTAGCACATTATGCACATTTTGTGATATACTGCATACTGCTGAGTTACATTTTACTTTAACTTTGACAAACGTCAAAAATCTGTCAAACTCCATACAAAAAGCACCTTATTGCTATTGTTACGGTTAAAATAAGGTGGTGCAACTTAGCCTATGACATTTGCAACATGTTATGTATTTGTTAATGATGCTTGCTTAAATGAAACAGCAAATCGAACGCACAGCGTTAAATAGAGCTATGTGATTGAATCGTGTGTCACCTTGTGCGTCCACGCGCACTGTGATACCTCATAGTAATGTTTGTGAATACGGGCGTAGTACCTATATTCGTCGCTGTCGTTCGTCGTTTCATCCAAATGACATCCTCTGCTGGACAAAGGCCTCCCTCAAGGTTTTCCACAATTAACGGTCCTCCGCTACCCGCATCCAGGCTCTTCCCTTAGGTAGGTATATTATTATATTATCTGCAAATCATATAATTTAAAAAACTCACCTTTACAAAGCTTCTCCTCATCAGTGGAGCTCCACCCCGAGTCCTTAGACTTGGGCACCGAAAGGTTCAAGGGCTGGTCATCCCTGAACGAAAACACTTTATCCACTTCACTCTCACTGGTCCTCACACTCCGTTGTAACAACTGTTCCTGCAATTTGTTCTTATGCACACTCAAACTCAACTTCCTATCATCAGTCTGAACCTGGATACTCTTTTCGAAGCAAAACGGCTTCTTCCCATCGAAATTTCTCTTCACGTTTATTAACTGACTTACACTCTTTTTGGCATCAGGCTTCGTTAAGCCTAAGATATGTTCTATAGTATGAGGAGTAGGCTTTTTAGGTGGTTTTCCGTATACGTGAGGGTGCCATGACGGCTCAAAAATATCCTGCTGTGTTTTTGACTCACTATCACTTTTCGCTTCTTCTTTTTTGTCGTTACGCTCATCTTTTGTAGCTACCTCTTGAGATTCTTCTAACTTCGTTTCATCAACATCATCCGTTATAACCAATTCCTCTTCCCTATCCTCTTCGTCCACATTAATTCTTTCTTCTGGACTTTTATCCACATCTGTGTACTGACAGTCTAAATAATTATTCTGGAAGCCATTATCGAGTCTGCTGTCAGCTTGTTCTATCAAATTCGGCGCTACAAAACTGGATAGAACCGTTTGCATGTCTGTGTTGTTTTCTTGTGGCGAGCTCATGTGTATTACCATTGGATCTTCCGGAAATAGTGTGACATGTTTGTTTTTATGATTGGATTACAGTTTAGTGGCGGCCGGGGATTGGTCGTTTGAAGCCTTTGATGTCGCCGTTTCCTGCAACAGAGGTTATTGAGTGTGAGTGCGTTCGAGCTTCCTAGTTAACTTAATGGCCGCTTTGGGTGAGCTTTTAAGATTTTATTGATACTTTTTAATACTATTTTAAGGGTTCGTAAGGCTAGAATATTATACATTGTTGTAATGTATCTCTATCGCATTAGAATAGAATACCTTTGGGGAAATATTACTATAGCCCAGTCAGTAACTTAAGATTACGTTAGTTTACAACTAAACAAGACCTCTCATTTATATCGAAATTTTCTAAATATGTATAACTCTAAGGTGACTGACTGACTGACTGACATAATGATCTCTCAATGCACAGCCTAAACCACTGGATGGATCGGGCTGAAATTTGGCATGCAGGTAGATGTTATGACGTAGGCATCCGCTCAGAAAGAATTTTACGAAACTCTACCAATAAGGGGGTACAACGGGATCCACGCGTACGAAGTCGCTACCGCGTACTAAGACCGTTAGTCATACTATGTAGTTAAGGGGTCAAGCTACAGTACAAATCAATTAAGCCTATAATAGACATCTGGTGTATCTTGGAGCTGAGAAGTTTTAAGTAATTGACCAAACATCCGTAGGGTTGCCAAAAGTTATTTACAGTGAGTTACAATAAAATTTTCTTTTTATTACTATTAGTTTAATTTACTGTAAAATAAACATAGATAACTTAATACCAGTAAAACAAAGGTAACATATTAATTAAACTTAAAAACTAAAAGTACTAAAAGCAGTAAAAGAAACTATTACTTTAGGAATGTTACCAAAATGTATCTACTGTAAACAAAGTTTATTTATGAAATAAAACATTTTAACTTTTTTTTAGAATATCCTCTGGCTGGCTGTTTTTGTTTGTATATTTTAGCCAAAAGCATAGATAACTTGCTGACCCGGCGAACAGCATACCACCATAATGTAGGATTCTGATGGTGATCGATTTTTTTTTATTTTTAGTAGGTTCGGATTTCAATACAAACAAACAAAACTTTTTGCTTTACGAGTAATAATAGTGTAGATATTATTAGAGTTATAGAATGGTATTGTAGATATCTTTGTGAGCAGTCATCAGTCCCTCGTCCGTGCCGTATCTATAGCACACATCCCTCTCCCCCTCTCCCCTCGGCAACCGTCATACCTCTCGTACGCTGATTGATTTTTATTGGGGTGCTTAGGGTTGTCAAAAAAAATACATTTATTTTGGGAGAACGGACTTCTATTACTTTAACGATGTAAAAGAACTTCAATTTTTGGAGGTTTTACTCATTAAATTCGAGTTTACTTACATAAAAAACGCATAAAATATGAAAGCGGTGAATCAGAAAGATAAATTATGCAGAATAAATAACGGAATTATTATTTTCATTTATTTTCTTCTAAAATAAATAGGGCTTAGGTATATCTACAACAATTTGCTATCTGCTATATCGCATAGAGTAGTCGCTCTTACCAATGAGCTACGGAATGATTACCAACTTGGTAATACCTAATTAAATACAACAATTAAGTTAAATCAAATTAAGTCGGTTAGTATAAGCTAAGTTTAATCTGTCAGATTATTGCTTTTTCTATCACACTTGCTACGAGAAAATACTTTTTTTACATAAAGCTGAAAGAGGCAACCCTAGGTTGCATAAATTGAAACAAATCCGCGGTTCGGGAGAACACGTAATAACAAAATGTATGTCTGTAAATACAGTTTGGTCAGTCATTGAAGCCTAATTGTAGTAACTTTGTTATGGCAGTTAAAAGTATTGGTTAATTGAATGAATTTCTTGTTTTATTGTTTGGGCTAACTAAAGATTTTTTCTCTACTCACAAAACTCTTTCCTATGAACTCAGAAGCCGTATTACACTGGAGTGCAAGTAAAAGGGTCGGTTAGAAAATCTTCGATGTCCTCGAAAGTGGGTACCTGACCAAACTTTATGAAACAAAACAGTACTGGAAAATCTACGCTTTTTCATTTTACATTTATTAAAAATAAAAAGCTTGTATTTGTAGTGCTTTTAAAGATATTGAACATTTTGTATCCGCCCCTTTGTCTTTGCGGTCCAATGTAGGGCCTATCTGTTGCTGTAGCGTTTTTCAGCATTGCTTTTTATGTAAGAGAGATGGATAGCTCGGAAAATTCGGTTATTATTACAGAAAAGACCGGGCAATATGGAAATCATTGGGAGACGCACATGTTCAGCAGTGGACGTCCTATGGCTGAAATGATGATGATGATGATGATGATGATGATTGCAAAGAACCCGCAGTTATTAGATGTTATCACCTGCTATAGTTTAGGTATTGGTCATGAACTTACTTAATGACTTACCCCCTTACTAATAAAACTTACACGCTCGGTGATCAGTGTTTTAAAGTGACGTTTAGTATGGAAATGTCATTTTAAAACAGTGATCAACAACTGTGTAACTTTTTATTAGTAAGGGGGTTAGTTTATAGGAAAACTTATAACTTTTAAATATCTCTGACACTGAAAAAATGGAAACATGTTCAATTAACATAAACAATGTTCATGTTAAGTAAAAACTAAATGTAATAGTTACGAGGTGGTAGATAGAGCTCCTAGAGAAAGGAATAAAATGACAAAAAATAATTTCAAGGCCAGTAATGTCCGTTTTCACCATCAATCCCTAATAAGTGGCCCCTGTTATTTTTTACCATAGGGGTCACTTAAAAATTAGGGATTGATGGTGAAAACGGGCATAAATCACCTAAAACTAAACCTTGTATTTTCACTTTTTTCTACATTAAAACCTATATAACTTTTTAAGTCTTGTTGCTTATTTATTTTAAATAATTTAAATAATTTAAACTATTTTTGATACCAATTACGTAACAAAGAAATTGTTGCCACAAGACCAAAAACGCTGACTTGGAATTCCCATGTAAGATAGTGAATGTTATGTTATGATTATACTATGTCGAATTACACTGCTTTATTCAACCTTAATCTCTGATCAATAAGGTTTACAATCGTTATTAATGAGTCATTTTTAAATGGGACATGATTGACGTCAATTGCTTAACAATCGTAAGCATTTTCCAAATATAATAAAATAATGCTATAAAGCTAAAGAGTTTGTTTGTTTGTTTGTTTAATCGCGCTAAACTCAGGAACTACTGGTCCGATTTGAAAAATTATTTTTGTGTTGGATAGCCCATTTATTGAGAATGACTTTAGGCTATATAACATCGCCCTACAGCCAATAGAGGTGGAGCAGTAAAGAATATGTTGCAAAAACGGGAAATATTATTCAAACTATTTTCACGCGTACGAAGTCGCGGGCGCAGATAGTTCAAAGATAAATAAATATCAACGAACATCATACATTATAGTGCTGATCAGTTTAATCGTAGATTGATATGTAATCAAGTATTAAATTGCCAATATCTTTATTGAAGCAACATTTAATTATGTACTTGTTGTTATTTGTTTATTACATGTATTTATCTGGGTATTTTGACAATGACTTTATATGAGGAATTTCCACGAGGTTTTTATACGGGTTTTTCAGTAATGACGTACCTATATAATCTGACGTATGTCAGAAGAAGACGCGTGGTGGAAGCCCCGAATAGTGAACCTAATAAATATATTTTTTTACAATAATCATTATTACCTGCCTGCCAAGCTACAAACTAAACGGAATTTTTACTTTAAATTAATAATGGAAAAACCTATTATGGATTCGAACCACTAAATTAAAATCATGTCAACTTTCTTATAAAGTGCTTTAAGCAAAATCTGATCCATTTTTTTTCTCAATAAGAGTCACGCAGAGAGAAAAACACTGATCATTCCTTGGTTTTATAGTAGGTACCTTTAACACAAATACTGATGAAGTTCTCACGTTATTTTGAACTCAATTATCAATACTTTAGGTTTTTAGTCTTGCATTTTGACTCTACCACATTGGTAAATTCAAAATGCAATGAATTTTCACCTAGTTATATCCCATTAAGGGTTAAGTCTCAAAACGTGACGTAAGAGTCAAACCCAGAAACAAAATGATATTATTTTAACAACTCTACAGTCATTATTGAACCTCTGGAGGGATGTACCAAGTAACCCCCGTATCAAAGAAGCAGGGGCGAATAAGGCTGATCCGACGAAAAGGGGATGCGAAGTACTTATTCCCATTTCTCATTAACTGTAAGCTTAATTTTCGATTCTGGAATGTTCCCTAAGTTCTTAAGTAGAGAGAACTGAGATATTTATTGGACAAAATAAAGGCAAACTTAATTCCACATGTCTTTGGCCCAGAACAGAGGGTGAAACGCAACTGCAACGAAACTGCAACTGCTAGTTACTTTTGAGTTGCATGTAAGTTTCTGCCATAGCGTCCGTTGCGAGACCACACAAGACGCGACCAGTTTGAAACTTTCAGTTTCAGTTTCATTCATAAGAATCATTAGAAAGTTGCAGTTTCGTTGCAGTTGCGTTACACCGTCTGTTCTGGGCCTTACTCTTCCAAACCAATTTATGTTTGGTATTATTCATCAAAACAGGACGTTCCTGAAAATTGCTTTTGAAATAACACATTTCATTAATTTTTACTAAAAAAAACATCACACTAACGTTTCATGTACAAAGACTGCCTTCAGTCCAAAACTTATCTCTGTCAACGCGAGCTATTAAACGTTTAAAAATTATCTGAATCAAAAGATCAGAACATTTTAATTAGGGAAATGTGATCGTTAACGCCATCTTTAAAAAACTTCACATGTCCAGCCGCCACATCTTTGATACTGGCCACTTTTAATAAAATAATTTTAATGCCAACTAAACTTTTTCGCTCCAAAATTCAAATTTTGAAATCCGAACGTCTCTATTCCGTAGTGAGAAGGCGTATTGTCGATTGATCGAGTTTGTATCGATATGTATTCGATTAATATCGCAGGGCCACACACGTAGTGACTTCCGCAGCTTTGTGAGCGGTGCACACACATCGTTGCCGATTAATGTCATAATCTGTGG